CAAATAAAACATCCCTCCATTTATCCATTACAGGATGGACCTCAGTACCAGGCACCTTGCTTTCCATGGAATGGCTTGCAGAAGATGTGAGGGCAGAGGGTGAAAACAGGCAGGGATCTGACAGTGGAGAACATGGCAGAACTTGGCTCACACAGTGCTCCACGGTGTGAACATTAGAAAACTAACATCACTGGACCAAGGACTAAGGACTGGTGGTTATAGCCACCTGGAGGGACATTCGACACCCATTTCAGCTCTTATTCCAACTATCTTTTCTAAGTCCTGCCCAAGAACTAAAACAAAAATTGCACAACCATTCACTTCTACACAGTGAAGCTGATAAAATTTTGGTGTCTCCTCAAAATAGCATTTCTATTGAGCATAATAATAACCGAAGCTAGAATGTTTCCATCGTGGTGAAGTGAGTGAACCTGAGAACACTGCTATATATACAAGGTAATAAGCTGACTGTGAAAGCAACCATCACCATTTACAAAGGGAGGTGTTAAAATAAAAAGGAGAAGGAAGGTTTACCTGCATGCTTTCAACAAAACTCTCAGAAAGGTGATGCTGGGCGATTTGCTTGTTAAGCTTGACTGACATGGGATGATTGTTTAGTAGACCTCAGTCAATTCAAGTTCTGACTGCGTGACTGCACCGTGTGCTCTGCTGTAAGGGATAGGGTGAGGCAAGCGAGGCGCCCGGGGATTAAAATTTATGGAGGCACTCAGTCTCAGCTGACTTTGCATTTGTGAGTCCCCTGTGCTTCATCCCAGCCTGAAGCTAATACAGATTCTGTACTGACTGAGCACAAGATGCCCGTGGATGGGTTCAACCTGGCACTGGAGAGACTTAAGGTGCAGGGTGGCCCCTTAACTCTATAGACTTCCATGCACTGACGTCAGGGCCTGTCCTTGAGAAAACTCCCACCATGGCCCTTTCACCCTGGTCATCTCTTACTTCTTTGCCTGAAATGATCTTCCTCACCTTGTTAACGTGGGAAATCCTGCTCAGTCTTTGCTTCAGCTTTCCCTTACAGAATTCATTGGCATTTGTGTTTTCAAGGAGGATGGCAGTTAAGACAAATAACTCTCTAATGTGTAGGACTCACAGGCAGTGTGTGAGCAGGAAGCTAGTGTCCTAACTCTTCTGGGAGAGCTTTTTGGCAGTGCCTGGATCCTCAGGTCTCAGAAGTAACCAGTTAGCTGGGTGGAATTTGCTCTAGAAGCCAGGAGAAACACCTCCAATTGCCAAAAGAGACTCTAATTATTGTTGAATGTTTTTAATAACAACTATTATGGGATGAGAATGTTAATTGCAGCATTGTTTATAGCAGCAGAAAATGAAAAATGACCAAAATGTTCACGAAAGGGGATGACTAAATAATCCCAGGTGCTGTAATACTATGGAATTAAACGAAATAGATAGAAGGCAGCTCTATATATTCTGACTTGGAAAAATATTTAAGATATATTTTTGAATGAAAAAGGCAAATGGAAGAACAATATAGCTAGTAGGAAATGACATACAAGAATAACTTCCCAAATTACTTTTGTATATTTTTTCTTGGCATGATTATTCACTGGCAAATGCAAAGAAAAGTGTTTGGAAGCACGCATACCAAACAGACCACAGGTGTGTGAGAAAGGCGGCCAGGATTGGGGTGATGACCTACATTGCCTTTTTAAACATAGAACACATATGTATGTATTTCTTTTGTAATTCAAGGTTTTTAAGTGAAAAGATAAATGCTTACTGGCAGCATTACAGTGGCTACAACGTTGAATACTGAATCTGCACTTATGAAATGCCACTGAATCAACACATAGCCAAGTGACACCTGGGTTGAGGGGCTGGAGGCACATTATGAAAGACAGAAAGTTCTTCTTCAGTTTCATCTACACTCTACCTCTTGCCAACTCTGAGTTGATTATAGACACTGCAAATAAGAATTTGATGGTATGGGGCCTTCTTTGAAGATGATTTCAGGCCCCTCTCCCAGCTAAGGGTCTTCTTGTTCCTAATACAAAATGTGTAGTTTACACAATCTGCTGATCAGTGGTGTTACTACTGTCACCTCTCCCCTCCAACTTTAGGGTCCTGTGGGGGTGGTCACTCTTCCACCTGTGAGCATCTTACTTTTGAGAGCAGGGCATTTATCCCACCTGCTGATGGCTGGTATTTATCGTATGTTCACTTTACACGGGCTCGCTCACTGATGCTGATGCTTTTCTGCAAAGAGTTTGAAAGGGATAGACGAAACCAGTGGATGTGGTAACTTAACAAAAATCCTTTGGGGTCAGATGCTATGATGTAGTACCCACTGATATGAACAACCTCTGAGAGTGGAGGTCGAGCCCTAGAAAGTAATGTCTGTGATTTTATGATTCTTAAACATGACAGCACTGACAAATATTTATATACCTGGACATTTACCATTGAATCACATTTCTAATTTAAATTTTAATTTAAATTTTATAAGGCATAAATGAAAAATCGCACTGAATAGGACAGTATAATTTAATCATGTCTGATGTTTTCTTTTACACGAATCAGGATTTATTTGGATTTCACATTCTGAGTTTGCCAAAGGAATGGTGAAATCTATTTAGGGGTAGCTAAAAATGTTTGTGTGTATGTGTGTGTGTGTGTCTATGTGTGTATGTATGTATGTGTGTGTGTATATATATATATATATTCTCCATAATCTGAAAAGTGAGCAGTCATGGGCCTTCATTCTGCATTAGTCCAGTGATTTGAGTAGCATCTGGAACAATTTAGATCCCTCTGTATTTCAGCCTCCTCTCATCAATACCAAAGAGAGAATAATAGAACTTCTTTGACTGATTGAGTTAGTGAAAAAAAATAAACTCTGAAACTAGCTTTAGGGGTTTCAGGTGCCCTTAATAATGTCTAAACATGCTAGTACATGCAAGTAATAAAATTCCTTTCTTTGGCATTAATTTACTTATTTCATCAGCCCTTTTCAATTTTTTTTCCCATGGTACTAGATGCTGAAGACCTAACTGACCCAGTGCTGTAAAAATGTCACTTGTATCTCCCTCAGATTTTGTGTTATAGTTCAGTTAAGTCACAACTTATTCCTTCATTCAAAAGTTCTAGAAATCCCTGACATCAGAGATAATATTTGAGGTACATGTCTGTGTTTTTTTTCTTCTTCAAAAAAGTAGTATATATTATTTTGTTAATCTTTTTTCAATTAAAAAACTTTAAAAATTTTAAGTATGGAAGTACATAAATGGAAACATGGAATTCGTCACCTCTGTAGTGCAGCTGGCATGAGAAATGAGGAGTTGCCAAGTAGAACTGGCCTATTGGGGGGGTTTCTACCCCTCCCTGCCTTCTTCCTTCTCTCTTTTTCTTCTTTTCTTTTTTCTTACTTTCCCTGTCTTTCTAACTTTTTAATATCAGAATTTTCAAATATTCACAAATGAGAGAAAATAGTATAATAAATCCCCACGCCCCCCTTAGCTCATCTTCACACATTATCAATACCTATTCCTTTTTTAACATTTTAAAACAAATCTCACATATCATGTATCTCTAAAAGATAGGCTTTCTTTCTTTTTAGCCTAACCAAAATACCATTATCACACCTAAATATATAAATATTTAATTAATATAATATAATAAATATAAATATTTATATTTTGATTAGGTATCACCCAATATCACCGATGATGGTTAATTTTATGTGTCAGCTTGACTGGGCCACAGGGTGCCCAGATATTTGGTCAAATATTATTCTGAGTGCTTCTCTGAGGGTGTTTTTGGATGAGATTAACATTTAAATCAGTAGACTGAGTAAAGCAAATTGTTCTCTTCAATGTGGGTGGGCCTCATCCAATCCATGGAAGGCCTGACTAGAACAAAAAGGCTGACCTTTGCTGAGTAAGAGAGAATTCTTCCTGCTTGTCTTCAAACTGGACATTGGCTTTTTTCCTGCCTTTGCACTTGGACAGAAACATTGGCTTTTCTAGGGTTTTGGGCCTGCTGTCCTTCAGATGGGAACTACACTGTTGACTTTCAGGGTCTCATGCCTTCAGACTGGGACTGGAAACAAACCATCAGTCTCCCGGGTCTCCAGCTTGCCAACCCACCCTGCAGATCTCGGGATCTGGACTTGCCTGCTTCCATAACTGCGTGATCTAATTCCTTATATTGAATTTCTTTATATATATGTGTGTATTGGAACTATAAAAACATATCTCTGCAAAACCCTGACTAATACATCACCTAATCATCAGTCCATATTTCATTTCTCCAAATGGTTCAAAAATGTCTTTTTACATATTATTTGAATTAGAATCCAAATAAGTTCCACATACTATTTTTTAAGTCTATAAACACCAGTTACACTTGTGATAAAGTCATGGAATGTTTTCCCTTTTATGGTATTTCTTAAATAATACTGGATAAGCCCCACAAAACAGAACATTAAACACAAAATTTTAGAATCTGATTTCATATTTATAAAGATCAGAATGCATGCCTTAAATGTGTCAAGACTGGACATAGAGAGAAAATTAATCATATTCCTACTAATACCAGCATACTCTTGAAAATTCAAGGAGTTTCTTTTTTGACTGTAGGCTCCACATCCATAAAACAGGAAACACACATATAAAATAATTTATTTGGCCTTCCTCCCAGGGATGCAGTGAGAATAAAAGGTAGCCTCACATGATTAATTAATTCTGAAATAGAGTATCAAAAAATAAAGAAATTTATATATTATCACCATCGTCATCTTCATCTAAGGAAACTGTTTCATTTCTTTATTTGCAACTGAGGTCATTCTCAGAAGAAATTTGCACTGTAATGCAAATCTGTGCTGCATTATTAAAATGAACAAAAGCAAATAAATTGTGCTGTAATGAAATAGGCCTGCTGTTTGATCAGAAGTAATTCTGTAAGTTTAACACACGCTGAAACGCAGCAAAGGTTGACCTCTCAAGGTCACTGCTTCAGACACTCACCCGGTACTATTGAGGTAACTCTGCCCCAAGCTGCAATCCTTCGACAGAGAAGATGGATTGAACCAAAATGCTGGGAGGCACTGACCATTGCTGTGTCGCTCATAACCATAGTCACTGTTGGGGAAAGAGCCAAGAGAAATCTTTCAGTAGGTGAAAAAATTACCGAGAATAATTTTATGTTAGTCCACAGCCAACTTCTACTCTAGTCAACTCGTCAAAAAAAGGCATTCACTGGGGCCGGCCCAGTGGCGCAGTGGTTAAGTGCACGCGCTCCGCTGCAGCAGCCCAGGGTTTGCAGGTTCGGGTCCCGGGAGCGCACAGATGCACTGCTTGTCAAGCCATGCTGTGGCGGCGTCCCATATAAAGTAGAGGAGGATGGGCACAGATGTTAGCCCAGGGCCAATCTTCCTCAAGGAAAAAAGGGGAGGATTGGCATCGGATGTTAGCTTAGGGCTAGTCCTCCTCACAAAAAAAAAAAAAAAAAAAGGCATTCACTGAATCACTGTCTTTCCAGAAATGGAACTTCTTTCCCCCTGGAATATCTATCAATTAGATAGATATTGAAAATATCTACAGAACCCATTTTGAGAAATGCTGACTTGAAGCAAAAGAGATGCCTGTGTAGAGATGAAGGCTCAATGCCCAATAATTCAAATTAAATGCCTTTAAGCTGAGAGAGTAGATTATGTTCTCTTTAGAAGGATACACGATACTGATTGTGGTTGGGCCCAGACAAAGCTATAATTGGAAAACAGTCAGTGGTAGAAGCTCAATTCTCAGTGTAAACCTTCACTGAAGTGTTTAACACAGCCACATGTGGCACCATTCTCGATCCTGGTGATGTCTTTGGGGTGCTCTTCCAAGACATCTGGATCTAGCAAGTAGAGCTGAGCCAAGTCTCTCTCTGCACAAGCCATATGCTTCAAAGTCACAGCAGAAAAAGAAATGTCCTTCAAGAGTGTCGCGAGCATTCCCCCAAGGAAAAGTTTTGTCCTAGTCGGTAACCACTGCCAGTGGGACTAACTGCTTTAAATCTTTTCTCTAGTTTGCAAATAGTAAAACACTTTTCTCTGGGTCTCCTCTCCTTCTTGCCTCCAGGGGCCTCTGAGTGGCCTGATATTCTTGGCTTCTGGAAGATGAACCTGGGCACGGAGGATGACAACAAATTGCACCTCTGCATGCACAGACAAATTGCAGGTAGCAACCAGCAAGCATTAGTATGAACTGGCCCATCTGTGTAATGGAGGTGAGATGCTGGCACATGAGGGTCGGGAAGGGAGAAATAGGCTCATCTAAGGGGCCTGTCACCAGGCAGCTGGCACTTAGAATTCTGCACACACCAGCTGGATTTGGTGCTGGTTCAACACAGCATGGGTAGGAGGACTTAAGAATTGCTGCCCACAACCAGTGTTCATTTCAGGGAATTACTTTACAAATGCTGGAGAATGACAGGCAAGGTCATCTGGAGGACTGACCAGGGGAGAGCCAAGCTAAGAGAGAACATTCGACAACCACCTTTCATTATGCTATAGTCAAATGGAATCACTGAAGTTCCAGCTACTGGTAGAAACTCAACAAGGTCGTGGTGAGCCTTCCAAAATATTTTCAGAAATCACGCAGTTACAAAAATCTCATTTGACCAGAAAATCTTACAATGGCTTCATTTATGATTCATTTCCCACTTTCGGAATACATTTGTTAGTGGGATGAGCAGCAGATTCCAATCACGGATGAACTCAAGAACTGGGCGAAGGTTGAGGGGAGTGAGAGATAGGGGAAGGGAGAAACCTAATTACTCTCCTTACCACACATTCCCTTTACTCTAGACGAGCTTAACATGGAAAAAGGGAAACAACAAATAACCACGACAAAAACAAAAGACTGGCTTATTTTGGAACTTTGTCAAAAAGATTCCCAAAGGAACAAATGTATCCAGGAGAAATCTGGGAATTGGGACACCTCACCTTACTTTTTCTTTTTGGTGTTCTATGACAGAATACATTGCTCTTTGCAAAAGATCGACCCTTTGGAAAAGCCAAAGTTAAGCCACCAAGATAAAATGTTAACTTCCTTTACAAATCCTCCTTGAGTAGAGTGGATAAAGGAGAAGTAGTTAGGCTTCAGAAAGAGGGATGTGATGAATGACTTAAAAATTCCATGTAAGTTTTCCCTCTGAATTTATTTCAGCGTGTCAATCCCAAAAGGTAGGACAAGGATAAAATATCTGCATCATTTTAATAATGTTGCACTGACTAAAACATAAGTCATGGTTGGCGAGGCCCCTGCAGAATTCCTTTTGAGCTTAACCGAAGCTCTGTTGCCCTCCGGCTGAGCCTAGGGAGACACAGCACTGGCTGTTGGCTTGCCTTGTTTACCCACAAGAGGAGAACAGCCTTGGGTTACTGGCGTGATTGCTGGTGGTCAATTTTTCCAGGCCTGCCCGGTACTATTTATTCAGAGAACATCTCCAGAGGTTTACCATGAGAGACTTACTTTTCCTAAGATACCTGATGTATATGTATACAGTATCTCAGCCCAGTCACTGATGCTTTGATGATCAGATATGTGACCTGTGATTGCTACACAGAAAAATGGTTAAAGGAATGACTTTAGTTCTTAGGCAGGTCAAGTTTCAATCGTTCAACGTTGACATACATATTTACCAATTGCTTTCTCTAAACTAAAAATACATAAATAAATAAAAAAGAAAAAGAAAAAAGAGGGGAAAAAAAAGGAACAGCAAATGAGATGGATATAACCAAGAGAGTTACCACCTACTCATCCTCAAGAATTTGTCAACCTCACCTGAACACTAACACTGACCTAGAACAAGGCGAGGGCATCAGCGGTCCCATAAGCTAGCTTTCTGCTTACCAAATGCTCCAGAAATAATGCTATGGTACTCTCAGTTATTTAACTTCTAAATGTCTCAGTACTTTTCCAGTTTAAACTAGTTGAGGCCTGGTAAAGAGAGAAGTCTCCTTTACTACTAGGTTCACAGAGTCATAGATTGGCAATGCCTCTGAATCCATCTTTGCATTGAATTCAGAAACGTCTGCCACAGCTTGCGTAGCAATAGTCAGCTAACCACTGACCGAAAACTTCCAGGGATAGAAAATTTACTGCCTTATAAGGTCATTGTTCCATTACCGGGAACCCTAGATTCTAGAAAGTTTTTATCTTGAGCATAAGTATGTTTGTTCTCTCAAAAGTCCACTTATTGTTTTCAGTGCTGCTGTTTGAAGCAACTTGGGGTGGATCTGGTCTCTCTTTTTGCCCTGAGATCTATCAAATATGTGAGGATAATCACCAGCCATCTTCTGAATCCTCTTTAAATCTAAAGAAACTCTTGGCTTTTCCATATTCATATGCACATAGCCATGTGTCCATGAGCCATGATGTCCCCAAGACATAATTTCCAAGAATATGAGGCTTGTCATTTAGCTCTATGGATGTTAATATTATTTCAGATCTCAGCTGTCATTAAGGCCCATATGGATCTGATATACTGAATGACTTTTATCCACGAGATAAAAGCACAAGCTCACCAGTCAAAATCAGCCTCTGTGCAGACACACGGTTCAGATTCCATAGCTCCTGCATATTTTCCTTGCATACATTTCCGCTCTGATTTACGCTTCTTATATATCCTTTTTGCTCCCATGATGCATGCTTCCCCCTGGAAGGAGACAAGGATCTCATGCAGTTGGGCAACATAGTTTGGACCCTCCCTGCTCCACATCAGGACAGTTCAGGGAGATGTTCTCAAACTTCAGTGTAATCCAGACGTGGGTAGCCTGCTTTGTGCTAACAGAATTTTCTTTTTGATATCTAGAGCCCTATTATAGAATGTGACTATACAGGCAATCCTACGAAGCACTGAGGGTGTGTAAAAAAAAGTCCTTAACTCCTTATGCATTCAGCAAACCTTTACTTGGCCAGGCGTTGGGCGCAGTGCTGTGAGGGACACACGGATAACTAAGACTCAGCCCATAACAAGTGTATTGTCAACAAATCTGTAATAATTAGGTTTAATTCTCCTGTAATAAAAGATTTATACATTTGGTCATTTATGAGCACACGAAAGAAGAGTATTGCTAATAAATATAAAGATCTATTTTCCCCTGATTTATTATGCCTCTGCTCACACAACTGTATAGCATGAATTTTATGTCCATCTACCAGACAAATGAGAGAACTAAATTCAGTGTTTCTCTACAGAATAAATAAAAGCTTTGAATATCATAATCCTTGTGCATCCCAAAGTGGAAAATATCAGCAATGTAAATGAGCAATAATTTTATTGTTGAGTCTCCGAATAGAGTAGATGATTCTAGCTGACGCAGCCCCCACTGTCAAACATAGTTCTTCGTGTGTTTGAAGGACCAGAACAGAGTTTTCTCCAAGTGACTGTTGTCTTTCTTGAGCAAATTCACTTTAACTGGCTCCATTACACATGAACATGTAACTATACTACTTAGTCAAGGTTTGGGGTCACATATGATGGGTCACTGTCTGAATATAGTGATGACTTTGTGGCAAGAGCCTCCGCCATGTCCTTTGAGAGACCCGCAGGATGACTTCTGCCTTGGGAAATCAAAGGAGAGAAGTTTTCAGCCAAGCACGTTGATATGAGCTGAATAGCTGCAGGGCCAGGATGAAGGAAAGTTTCCTATTAGTAATTCTGCATTCTTGTACCATGAGTTCTTTAGAAGGAGACAAGAAGCGCTATCTAATCCCAGGGAATCGCAGTGGTGGGGAGGAAGGATTTTATTGGCACCGCTCACCCAGCATAATTTTGTTATTTTATGTCTCTGTTTGCATTGCTAGATAAAATTGAAGATCTTTTCCTCACTCCTGCGCCCACCGTGCAATCATATGACATGCTTAGATAAATTATGTTCAGATCTCCGTGCTGAGTTAGTATTTCATTTTGAGTTGTAAGTCTAAGCCAAGCACATTTGAATTTTATCTCATTATATCCTAGTACAATAAAAACAGAAATTACTTCACACCAAGCTATAAACGTTGAGTTTGTTCACTGCTGTGGAACACAAAACACATAAGAAAGCAAGAGATGGGCATTTTAGCCTGAAAAACACCAATTCCTACACTTTAATGATTAGTTTTCCCCCAATATGCCCCATGCCTCCCACCTGACTCAACCTCAGCTCTCTTCCTCCTACCTGGCTATGCAGTTGCCAGGGTCTGTAGTCCTCTTCGGCACACCGTCTATCGAAAATGGACTTGTAGTCCACTTTGACCAGCTGCCATTCAGAGCGGTGGCTGAAGTGTCCAAACACTCTACAGAGTTGATGATGATGAAAACAATCACAATAATAACAATGCCAATAGTTATAACAATAGTTAGCATTGGCCGAGTGTTTACAATGAGCTTAGCATAATGCCAAGAACATTACATTGATCATATTATTTAATCCTCAAAACACATTTGTGAGGAGGGCACTGTCATTGGCTCCATTTCATATATGGGTAACTTGAGGCTTAAAGAATTTTGTTAACATGCAAAAACCAAAGTCAGGTCACTAAGAACTGGTAGAGTCAGAACCCAGGGTATTTGACTTAAAAGCCCACTTCTACATATTGTACCACAAGAACGGTTGACAAAAGAAAAAAACGATTGAGAAAACAATCGCAAATGCTGCATTCTTTGTGGTCATGACTATACTTCTAGCTTCTGTTGCTAATGTACATGGTTCCCATGGTTTCCACACTATTTTACCTTCCCACTAGTCCCTAGGGAAAATGGGCAGCAGAGTCAAGTAGTTACAACTGTTTCCTACAGGGTCTATTCTACTCTCCTTACTCACAGAGACTTAGGCAGTTAATGAGGTGTGTCTGAATCACCAATTGTAGGTGTGGATAAAAGCCACAAAGTAGCCTTTTCAGTCAGCTTTTTTTCATCTATGTTTGGAAATATAAAAATTGAATAAAGACAAATTATGGAAAAATTGCTAATCTAGCAATGTTTACCATGCACAAAAGTGTAGAGTGTAGGCATATTAAATTTTTGTTGATCTTTTATGATCATTAAAAAAAGTGGGAGGGAAGAAAAAATTAGAAAATGTACCAACTATTCACTTTGATTTTAAAATTTTCATTGATGACAGGAACAACTACTTTAAAACCTTCCCTTTCTGTTTTCCATGTCCAATTTTCCAGGGAAAGAAAAAAATCACAGTTTCATATTTCAAATTCAAAGCTCATGTTTTGAAACCCATAGGCAGGCAAGTCATTAATCAAGTCTTTCACAAATTAATGATCATCACTTTCCAGAGAAGAATGAGTGCAAATACAATTTCACAAGAACAGATTGTTCTCATGGTTTTCCTAATATGCCTCACAATTGCGTTAGGTAAAGAGCCAGGGAAAAATAAAACACTTTGTGGGGTTTTTGATCAAGTTCTGTGTTCTGTCTTAAAGTGAAATCATTCGTAAATGCCTGTGATTTTCTGTATATCGAGTTTATTATTAAAGTGGTAAATTTATAGCTTTATTTTCTATGGAAATAACCACTTCTAATTTCCCCAAGGCCATTCACTATGGGAATAAATAAACTATGCCCTTCTGCTGCCAACCCTCAGTGTGGGTCCCCTAATAATGAGGAAAGAGCCAAGAAAATGGCTGCCCACATTTTTCTTTCCTCTTTGCTGGAGAATCATGAAGTTCGACGTACTGACTTTGCTAGTAACTTCAAACCTAACAGCAAAGTGAACAGGCTTAGCTAAAAACAACATGCTTCTAGGTTTATATTAAGACTAGAATACATCATAGTTTTCCACTTACGTCATGATGAGAGTCTCTTCCCCAGGCTCTCCCAGAACCCCATCCACAAAAAGTGGAATGGATGTAAAGCTGTATTTGCTCCAAGATCTCCCTTCATCAAAACTCAACCTAATGACAGAAAAAATAACAGTTATGGGATCTCAAAAGAAAAAAAATCCTTTCAAAGGAAAGATACTATCAACCAGGAGAGAATACATTTTAAAAGTATCCGGGGCATTGTCCAAGTGAGGCTTTTATATGAATAAGTGCTCTTAATTACATCAGAAGGTAGAAATAGAGTTAGCCAAGCGTTTTGGAAGCCAGATGTGTTATAACATCAATAAGGGAAGAGCTGCATGAAACAGGAATAATAATAAGTCTTTGAAAGAATTTTTTTTTTAATTTGGATATTTAATTAGATCTTAGATCTCAATGTGACCCTCTCCAAAACCTCACTGTAATCTAGCAGCAAGCCTTGCAGGTGATTCCGAAGAGCAATGACCTTCTGAGACCACCTTAGATGGACTTGAAGCAGCCACCTCTAAGTGATCAAACCCTAAGCAGTAGCCCTCTTACATTGTTATAAATCCTGGTTGACTCATTGAGTGAATGGGTACAGGGAGGACAGGCTCTTGAGAGTAAGAGAAGTCTACAAATCTGATGGTCACACAGGATGTTTCTTTTGCTCTGCCTTTCTCTATGGATGCCTTCCCCCAAGCTATGCCTCTGTCTCTCTTATTTCTGCAGCTTCCTTTTCGGTCACCAAAGTAACTAACAGTGGAGGGAAAACCAGGCTTTTGACTTTGATCAAGCTTGCACATGGAGAGGACCACTTTCAAAAACACAGATGAAGGAGTCTATTGGAAATCCCTCTGGAAGCGAGGCCTTGCTTGTCCATCTGCGGAAGACCTACAGGTAGACTTGCAGAATGTCACCCCTGAAAAGGAAGCTAAGGAAGTAGGGTCAGGAGAAATGAGATAGGAGCAGAAGTGTCATGAACTGCTGATCTCTGTGCAGAACACACATAACACAAATATTAAACTCCAGGAGATGTTATTTGGGAAAGGTGAATGCAAGAAGTTAGGCTACTCAGAGATTACACCTGACACACCATTCTACCTATGATTATGCTGAAAGAATAAGGTACGGGGGTGGGGGGGATATCATCACATGTGAAAACCATAATGCAATTCCTCTCTCAGGGGCTGAATCAATCAATCAATCACTCTCTCTCTCCCTCCCTCCCTCCCTCCTTCCCTCTCTCTCCTTTCCTCCTCCTTTTGTGAAACTGCAGGCAACAATCTTATTTTAATAGAGCAAAGGTATAAATAATGTTCGAGTAGACCTTGACATTTTACTACAAACAGTCACAATCTGATGGCCTGACTCCTAGACTGGTCTTAGCAGTGTGCACGACTCATGGGCAATAGATGCCTTTACCAGAGATGTCGAATTGGGAGAGATGTGTGCTTCATAGCAACCAGGACTCCACCTTGATCCAGATACAAAACACTGTGCTCTTCTTCAAAGATCTGAAAAAGGAAAACACACATGGACACACATCCACATCCATGCACACCCAGAATTCAAAGAATTAGTCTTCATATGAGGGGAAAAATCCTTACCATGATAGAACTAGGTTTCCCAAAATCTTTGGGAAGACAAAGTTATGAACAATGTTTCCCAAGGTGGGCTATATGTACCATTGGAGTTACATAAAATGATTTTAGGTACACCACAAAAGAAATTTAAAAAATAAATAGTTATGTTTTCATCTCTATATTCCTGTCTTTTTGCGGTAAGTTCTATTATCCCCATTTATAATGATGTCAGTATATTGGGTAACTGTCATATTGAGCAACATCATTATATGGAAGAAATCTTAGAGATGTTTTACTCCAATATTCTCATTTTTACAGATGAGAAAACTAAGGTTTAGAGAGATGTGGTGACTTGCTTAAGACCATGCATATAGTAATTGATGGAGCTGGGACTACAGTGCCCTTTCCAAATGTAATGATTTCAAAATTTCCAAGTATTATAGAGGAAAGGTATTCTTGTTAATTCATAGATTCTCTACCAAGGCATAAAGTAGTTCTGATCAAAATGGAATCATCATCTTTGGGTACATGTGTCATTGGATCTTTCTCCAAATGTGGAGAAAACAATCTGAAGTCAAATGGAGACAGGCTGAAAACAATTCGTAAATCCTCTCTATATAAGACACATGCTGTTTTCTCAGAGTTACATTGTTAGTATAGCCTTGTCTGTGGTTACACTACAGACATAATCTTTTTCCCCTTTGTTTACTGCTTATATGTAAACAAGGACTACGGTATGTATCCCAAGACTACAGAAGTAGAGACTTCTTTGCTTTGTTTAGGGTATTGGAAAGAAAAAAAAAATGGGATCCTGGCTCTCTAACTATTTTCCAGAGGAAGCTTAATAGTCCATGTTCCTACACACCTCCAAGATCAATAGCCCTGAGGTTTCTCAAGCAAATTTCTTTCCTGCTCTGCTCTCCTCAAAACATATGAATCACACTGAGGATCTACGAAATGTCTGAAACTAGGACATGGTAACTGGACCATAACACGAACATCTCTGTCTAAAATTTAAAGCAGAGTGTTCTCAAGGCTGTATGATTACCTATGCATTAGATTTCAATTTATGGTGCTAGTTATTGTATGATAATTAAATGTCAGTGGGTTATTAAAACATATTTATTGAAGTGTAACAACCATGCATTAGGCACATATCTTGTTATGATTGCTAAACCTCATTAAATGCCTGTTTTATAAGCTATGGGTATCTAATTTTCATTCAGAAGAAAGAAAGGCAGCATTTAAGCTAAACACATTGGTTTAAAGTGATTCCATTTCTACTTTCCCTAACATATGCACGCTGATGGTTATTACTTTGTCTTTTGCACATGAGATTTAAACATCTCAGAACACCACCTGGATAATGGCTATTTCTATATCACTGAATTCCTCTCTATTCTGACTTCTAGGCAAGGGGAATTTGTGGAAGCAACTCAGTACTAGGTATATAATCCACCCTCGGGGATCCATGTTCCCTATATGACAAACTCTTTGGGATTCTGGTTTTCTTTTATGGGAAAAATTAAGTCAGATCTAATTTGCTTTCATTGTCACTTATAAACTTTCTTATATATAGGCTCCAAATAAGGGTCATTTTTATTGAACAACAAAAAAATCAAATTGCATCAATATCTGCTAAACTCAAAGACTTGTTCTAAACTTTCATAAAACAAAAAGGAAAATAACCACACTGGCAAGCTTTAGGATTTATGTGTAGCTAAATAAGTTCCCAGAATTAAATTTTTGGCAATTTGGGCAATTTTTATGTCATTTGAACTTCAGCAACTTGACCCAGGATACTTTCTTACCTGCCTCCAAGTGTTCCCTGCATCTGAAGAGACAAACATGCTGATGTCGCTATCTGACAATTCAGAACCTATATTACCTAGAAAAAGCACATCACCATTAGTGACGGGAACTTTCTGCAAAGGCTAACAACAGGCTATACCGGCATCCGCATTGCCTGAGATGGATTTAGACTATAAACATCTCTGAGCAGGGCTTTTCAGCACACTTGCTTCAGGGTCAGTGGTTTAGGTGCCTTTCAAAAATATTTTTAGCTTGCTCATTAAGTTTCAAGCACAGATATCTAGCTCCTTAAAATAAACACAATTTACAACAGCAAGCAAATCAGGAAAGCTTCTTACCTGAAGCCACTATGATGCTGGGAGCTGTGTCTCGGCTGGCAATGATCCCCGATGTGTAGGGATTCTCAGAGACCTTAAGGTGAAGGTGTAGTGAGCAATAGGGCTGAGAAGAGGAGAGATGAGTGTTATAAAAGCACATAATCTAAATGGTCATTTAAAGCCCAGATTCAGAGCAATCGTCCAATCAACCAACCCTCCCATGGATCTGTCCATCTATGTACACATCCATTCACCTATGTCTCATTCCACAAATATCTGGTGTCCACTCAGTATAAGACAGCTGCCAAGTTGGCAATGGAGAGATCACCTTCATTTTAAGTCTAATCTACTGCCTTAATTGCCATTTGGTCATTCAGCAAACATTTTAGTACTTTACCCGTAAAACACTAGGTGTAGCTTATGAAAGAGTTACATTGATTAAAATTTGGTCTCTGCCATTATGGAGTGTATAATTTAAGATCTTTCTATTGATTACCATAAAGAGAGAATATTTTAACAGCCATAAGATCAATATAGACAAACTATGAGATTCTAGAGGGTGACAACACTATGGCCACCTTTGGATCAGGGAAGGTCCCCAAGAGAAAATGGTGCCTGAGGCAAAGATGGGTAGGAATTAAACTCCAGATGAGATGTTCAGGAGGATAAAGAACATACAGGCCTGAGTAACATCAGTAACAAAGAAAAGAAGCAGAAGAGCTGAGCTACAATAGAGTATGTAGTCATGTAAGACTGAGGAGGAGAAGTGGGATATGAAGTCAGGAAAGAAGGTTTGGTCAGGCTGGGAGGGCTTTGAAGAAGTCAGTTGGCATCTCTTAGCTACTCTCCATTTGAGACCACAGTCTCAGTTGGATAGAAGAAGTTGCATGACATGCGAAACTGTCCTAACATCCACGAGACAAATCAAAACAGTGTTTGTATCAGGGTATTATCAGAATCAGTATTATTCAATATAAAAGTCATGTGTGTAGACAAAATGTACACAAAATGTGTAATAACAATTTAAATGAAAATTTAAGGGACTTGTTTACTGGGCATAACAATCTCGACCAAATTCTCTGATTAAGATATCAACAGTTTTCAGAAACAGGATAATAAATCTTATACGAATTTCATTTAAAATAGTTCTTGTACTGAGTTGTCGAAAACTACAAGTTTGTGTCTGAACCCATATTTCTTTTCATCTCTCAGGAAGATTATTTTCTAATCTTATCGACTTGAGGTTTTGGAATCACCAATGTATCTCTGTTATTACTTTTATTCTGCTTTGTAAGTCTCAGCCAGCAGATATTCAGAGATCTAAAGAGATACAGTGATTAAATTTATATGAGATAGACTAAATGACAAACTAAAAATGAAACTCAGGAATAAAAGCAGCCAAAATACTGGTGAAATAAAAACAGTGGATCACAGTAGGGTCTTTTCTTCACTGCCAATACATTGGGTAAACTCTCAAGGAATAATGACAGTAATAAATTGTTGGTTTTGTATGAAAATTTCATGTAAAGTTTTCAAAAAAGGAATTTTTACTTTATAAGATTATGTAAGAATAAGGAAGACAGCCGCTATAAGAAGAAACAATCAGATCCAAACACTTAGCTGCCTTTTGTCCCAGAGGAAGATTAGAATGGGTTTTGTTGTATGTTAAAGAGGTTCCACGACAGTGGTGCACAACACTCAGACAGATGCTAAGAGAGGATACAGCAGAGGTGTCAAACCATTTTTCCATGGAAGTTTTCCTGGCAACTGCAGCCTATCAGGATCGCCCCTTTTCTGATCTACAAAAGTTTATTTTACCATGAATAATCCTATATTATCTATTTGATGTATGTATAGTTTTATCCCCCTAAGATGCACTCTACAAATAAAGAGAAAATATCAACTACTACTTTGTGCGTTCTGCAGAACCCAGCATAGAATCTAAAAGACAATCAATAATGCTTGAAATATCAAGCAAAGCTTTTACGTTAGGACATGAAAGACACTACTTTACTATTTTACTCAGAACGATGCCAGAAGTACGTGGGCTTATTTATAAACCACACAATCAGAGTAATGTGAGTATCTCCGTAGTATTCCAAGAAGTTCATCACTCCTTGGGGATTATGCCTAGACATGAATTTAGTGGAGGGCCTTTTGTACCACTCAATTGAGCAGGATATCCCTGGCCAAGGGAGCACCGAGTTTGCAATCTTGAGCCAGCCACCTGCCACATACATCACCACCCAGTGGTCTGGGAGACTGTGAAGCTCACTGCCACCTGACCTAGGGATTATTTGATATAGGACACTTGCCATTACGAAGGAAAAACGGCATTTTCAATTGGCCATCTCAGCACTGCTCTGTTGCTGTGGCTTTCAGAGCCCCAAGATAAATTAATCTGAGAAGAAAAGACACCAGTTCATGCAGTAGCAGCAACACTAGAAATGATCTTTTTGGTGCACTTTTTTCTCCACTCTCACATTTGTAGTACTGGATTGCCCCCAGCTGGTACAAGGAGAATATTCTGTGGCTTTTTTTTTTCTTTCTTCCTTCCATTTTTTCAAGGAAGTTATACAGTCTAAGCCAATGTTTGAAGAAAAACAATATTAAGTGATTCATCTTCACTTTTTTAACTTAAACTTTTGTACCTGACCAGTTTTGGACATTTGTCAAAGTTAAGTCACCAAAAATTAATAGAGAGGTTTATTATAATGGCTAACTAGCCACTGGGAACTCCTGGAGGACACCAGAGAAGGCTTTCTAATTCTTATGCACATTTTGCCCAGGCAGGAGGCACTCTGTCCACCTCTCTCTTCTCTCCTTCCTGCCTTCTTTTCTGTCATTAGCAAACATGTACTGAGTACCTGCGTATCTTTCCAGAGTTATCTCCAATTCAGTAGAGTCAAAGCACAGTTTGTCCCAAATGTATTCCTCTGTTTCCCTTCCCTTTTCACATTAAGAAAATAGAGAACTGAAACCACCATGACCTAGCAGTGGACTTACAGAGAGTGGAGGGACCAGCATACGTGTCTTGAAGCTGTTCTTTGTGCCCTTACTCACACATAGTCACAGGGCATGGAATATCATCAACCAGTCAATTTTAGGAGCAACCAGATCCTTAGTCTTGAATCTTCTCATGGTCAGGTACAGAGTTTGAGAATCTGATGCAAATTAAGGACTCTTTCCCAAGAAAAAGTGCACAAAGGCAAGTGCACACAGTTTTGTGTTCAATTTGAGGGAGGTGACAAACTCCTGTGGCCCATTGTGGACCTCTAGGTCTCAATTATTTTTCTTTTGCTTTATTCTTTTCTTTCTTATTTTAACCAACAAAATCTTTTGGCCATTGCAAATATTCGATAAATGTCTGTTGGATTTAATGGCTCCATTAACTAGCTGCTGTCTTCTTAGCAGTGTGTATGGCCAATGGAGAATTAGTAAATGACAGAACATTCCCCCACTATGATATAAATCAACTTAAAAAAACTATTAGATTATTTGAAAGTCAACCAGCTTCTCATTCTACTTCCTCTCCCTCCCCCTACTCCCATTGCTGTATTAACAGCCTTTAGATCTCATCTTCACGGTACCTTTATTCTTAGGGCTCCTAATCTGACTATTCTGTTGAAAAGCCAGATCAGAGCTTTCATAAATAATAAGGCAGCAGGTGAATTCCCAAATATTGTCCCCCAAATCCACCCCCATACATACACATTTGTGCTGTTTCTGACCCTGAATTGGAGCTAGGAATCCATTAGATCTTCAGTAAAGAGCCAATGTCAAAGAAGAGGGAGATCCCTCAGCCAATTGGCTGGGTACGGGGCATCTGGCCCCGCTCCACTCCAGTACAATATGTAGAGTCACAGCCAGTGCAAAGGAGGTGGAAGGCAGAGTCAAGAAGCTCGTTGGGTAGCTGGCTGCTTAGGTCTAGTAGAAAACTGCCAACTGCATCCATCAAGAAGTCATGGCCTCTCTCCATGAAACACTATGCTTTCCCTAGGGGCCGAAGGATTTGTCACAGGCTCAGCTCACAGATCTTGCTTCTTGGGAACCCAATCCTGAGGCTTTGGAGGCAGGTGGACCATGACCTGTAATACCCCATCTAATTGTACAATGCAGTCTTCAGAGGAAAGAAATCCCAGCTGAGCCCTCCAGGCAATCAGTCTAAAAGTCCTAAAAATACAGCCCCAAATTACTCTGAATGTCTTATTTCTATAGAATACATTTTACCAGGAGCATTCCATTTGGGGCTGTAATTCTGAACTTGTTCCACATTTGTAACAGCCCTGCTGGAAAATCTCTTCTCTAATCACTAAGCTGTGCTTTCGGTGACACTGTCACTTTCCACGTACTCACAATCTAAAATCACTTTTTATCTCCTCTCTGCCACCAGCTCCCCAGCCTAAAGAAGGTTTTTAACGGTCTGGGTCTCCTGTAGCTCAAAGATTTTCTTTCCTGTTTTGTGACTTTGGCAGATTTTTTAAAAACGATTTTGGTTTCTCCTCCCCACTCCTGTTGTCATTTCCCCTCCTCACCCTGCTGCCTGTTTTCTAAAGCTCAGATTGAAACTATAGTCATGTGCCACATAAGGACATTTTGGCCAATGATGGACCGCATATAAGACGGTGGTCCCATAAGATTAGTACCATACAGCCTAGGTGTGTAGTAGGTGAGACCATCTAGTTTTGTGTACTATGATGTTCACACAAGGACAAAATCACCTAATGAGACACTTATCAGAACGTATCCCCGTGGTTAAGTGATGCTTGACTGTACATTAAACAACACGGTTAATGAGGGAGGAAGGCCAAAAGACTCTTACCCAGGGAGTATACACTACTATACACCTAGATCTCATTAATTCATCTTTCCTCAATCTTAATGAGCCTACTGATTTTGTCAACTTTCAGGTCAAGTTGAGCCCGTAAGCTTCAGAGAGAGATATTATGACAAATCCTCCAGTGTGGCTATCAGTGGCAAGGAAAGCCTTTCACAGAAGTCCAAATTTGGAACTCAAACAACACCCATCAACGGGGCATCCACTTCAAACAAACACAACACCCACAACAATGCGTGTGTAGAGCACCTACCACGTGGCAGGTATCACTCTTGAGCTGATTCTTTGGAGCGGCCAGAAAACAGCCACAATCTCTATGCTCATGGAGCTCCTTTTCAGCAGGGGAAGATGAACAAGAAGGTCAACAAATGTGTCTGCTGATTTCAGACAGTGAGAGACGTCACGAATAACAAAGGCTGGAACAACTACAACTTCAGAGAATGCTCAAGAAAGCTCTCTGAGACTAAGGTAACCAAGCAAGGAGCTGAATGCCAAGAAAAAGCCAGAGTAGAAGGGCATTTTAAGAGCAAGAATGGCAAATGCAGAGCCTAAGATATAACTGAACACAGTGAGTTAGTGGTATGGAAAGAAGCACCCTCCTCCCCCATCATGGTCTGTGTGTAAGGAAGGAGAGAGAGGATGAAGACCAGACAGGGGAAATAGACAGGTGCCAGACCATATGGGACCCTGCAGGCCATGGTAAAGTATCTGAATTTTATTCTACCTGAATTAGAAAGTCATTAGAAGGTTCAAGCAATGGAGGGACATGATCTGAACTTTTAAAGCTCAAGTTGATCCCACTGACATAAAATTTTAGAAAAGAGAAATCTAATCTATTAGTAAAGGAAAGCAGATTAGTGGTTGTCTGGGGCCAAGAGTGTGGACAGTGACTACAAAGGTGCACAAAGAAATTTGTTAGGGGGATGAAAATGTTCTATCTTGACTGTGGTGATGGTTACATGGGTATATACGTTTGTCACGATTCATCAAACTATACTTAGAAAATGGGTGCTTTTTATGTATGTATGTTTTACCTCAATAAAGTTGGATTTAAAAAAATGAAAGGTTGAATTGGCTGCGATGTGGAGAAGAGATTGCCAGGGAGAGATGGGAGAAGCAGTTAGGAGCCTGTCACTGTAGGGGAAGGGAGAAATGATGGTGGCTTGGATTAGGATGGTCCCAGTGGAAATGAGAAGTAAACTGACACTGCATTTATATTTTGGAGGCACAGCAATAAGACTTCCTACCACTGGGCTGCAGCTGGAACAGGGAACTCTTCACTAAGTGCTTTGTGTAAGAGGCATTTCTAATGGTCCATTTATGATGCCAGAGCATCCAGGAAAGCCTCTAGGGGTGATATGGTTAATTCTCTCTTGTGACCATTTAATCTCCAAAGTGCATGGTGGGACGGAGGACCACATTAAGGCACTGGTGCATCCCATGCATCTTTGGCTAAATATCATGCCGCTCCAACTTAAAAGAGCTAAACTAAGAAAGTGGCCCTGTTTTTTTAAAATGCTACTGAACTATGCCTTGCATAGTAGGTATTCAATAAATAACTGTTACATTTACTTACTCTGTCACAGGCTTTGTGCACTTACTTTAACAACTGGCTTTTTTTTCCCTCTGTAAGTTGCCAGTAATAAGGATAGAAGCCGAGTGGGAGGCTGCATTTTAGACTGCTTCCCTGATGTACAGTGACAACTGTGATATCCTCTGCACTAATAAGGTCAAGCTATGGCTGCTGGCATCTTCTCGAGTAGGAGGGTGACCCACCTACAGCTGTATGAGATGAACCTGCAAAGTGACTCTTCAGAATTTATGGGACAGAAGGAAGCAAGCTGGATAATATCAAAGTCAGAATTGTATGAAGAGTGTGAACACTGTTGTACATATTTATATATATGCATATATACCAAGCCCTTCTTATTAAGAGTTCTCCCCTCTAAATTTATATACTAGGTTCTCCCTTTTATGAATTTAAGCAGAACTTCTGATTCTTTTTACAGAAATTAGCATTTAATATACTTTGTCTTGCAATTAATCTCTTCCTACCCTCCTGAATTCACTCAGTATCTATTCATGTGTCAAGTACAGGGCAGGTACCAGAACTACTAAGAGGAGTGAGATGTGACCCTATAATCTTTCATTTATTAATCTAGTCTCTCTCAAGTACATTGCAATATCCTTGAAGGCAAGATTCACCTTTAACCCCTCAATTTGGATGCCATCAGATAATCAAATATATAAACAAATTCATGCTGATCTACCTAATACCCAAACGTTACACAATTAAAAGAAAGCTATACTTTAAAGCAGGGGTCAGCAAACTTTTTTTTTAATAGAGCCAGATAATAAATATCCTAGGCTTTGTGGACCATATAGTCCCTGTCATGACTACTCAATTCTGCCATTGTGGAGCAAAAGCAGCCACAGACAAGATATAAATGAATAAGCATGACTGTTTTCCAATAAAACTTTATTTAGAAAAACAAGTGGTGAGCCATATTTGTCCCACTCGCCATAGCTTGCCAACCCCAGTTTTATAGAATGAGACATAAATAAATAGTATATATAAAGAGCACCAATAAGAGTTTAAATCAGTGGTTCTTACCCTTTTTTGAGGCATAAACTCCTCTAAAAATATGATTAAATATCTTTGCTAGAAAATACTACTACACAATTCTGCATTCAGTTCACCAATTCTACAGCTCAATATATGTATCATTGGACCTGTAACAGGTTATGCACGTGAAAGTAAGGATGTATATCCCCATCACACATGAAAACTATCATATTCTCGCTTAAACTACAATTTGAGATCCTCATCAGAACTTGGACCTCAATTGAAGATCCTTGGAAGTGAGCAAGAAACTTTCTCGTGTTCTCTTATCTCTTTGGTCCATCACAAATGGCAGCACTGTGACTCTTCTACACACTCAGCCGTCACACCCTTCTCTGTCTCCTTTTGTTCATCAAAGTGAGCAAGACGCCCTGTAACCATTTTCATCTGCTTGTTTAACATCCATTTCCAGCCCTCACTGGGTGGGACATTCTGTCCCAACATGAAGACTCACCAGTAAGCACTGAACAGGGTCCCCCCTTAGATCCATGTCTGGTGCCTGCAGCAAACGCCAGTCTCTGCCTTTGTTATATGTGATGAAAGTCTTCACTTGGTTGTCAATCTTCTTGTTAGCCAAGAACATTCCCTTTATCCCTGCTACCTGGGAAAAATTGACATGGCTGAAAAATACATCAATTTGAGAAGGGATATATTTGTTTACATAAAAAAAACAACAACAAAAGCAGACTGTCAAATTCAGCTGTGAGCAGTTGTCTTGGAGGAAGGAGAAGGTGAGGATGGAGGAAGAAGGGGTGATGCTTAAGTACAATGACTTCCTGGGCTGTGGGACAGAAAAAAATAGATTAGTGCCTCTTAGAGCATGGGGGCTCTAAAGCAAGTTTGATAGAGGCTTCTTATTTCCCTAAGGTAGGTTGGTAGGAGCTTGCAGTTGCCTAGAGATAAACTTTGGTGCTTTCAGTTCTGTTGCTTGGTAATTGATAAATAAATAGGAGATATTTTTATTATATGTTAGGCATAGCACCCATGATCTTAAATACTTTATCTCATTTAATCCTGTAACACTCCTCTTGGCTAAGTGTCACTTATTCTATTTCACAGATGAGGAAACAGGCTCATCCAGATAAAGTGACTTGGCTAATGTCACACTGCCTGAGGTCAAACAGATAATAAGTGGTGACCTGGGATTTTAACCCAAAACTCTCTGGCTTCACAGCCCATTCTATTAAGGACTATCTAAATCGTTGAGCTATCTACAGCCTTGGGCAATGGAAAGAGGTCAGTTAAAGCTCAGGACCCAATTACTAGCATTTTTTTTTTTCCGTAAAAGATCGCTCTATTAAGCCACCAAAGTACATTGAACAAAAGAGAACAGCTTTTAAATTTAAAGAAGCAATGGTTTCCCTAAATTGTTAAATAATCCCTCCTCCATTCCTATTACAGCTTTGTTCCCACTATAAACAGTCCTTATTTATTATTTGGCTCTGAAAATATGATTGCCTTCTCTCCTCTATACATTAGGAAAGAGGTAAAAATTGGTAAGTTGCCAAAACTGTGCAATAACAAGTCATTAATTGAGCATTATATTTTTCATGTGTTTTAGAGTTTATTCAACACATTCATACATAATTTACTCTGCTTGAAATTATGACAACACAGGAAAACTAGAGGGCAGTGAGAAAAGGGTCTGAAATGTGTTGAATGGTGCATTGTAACCCTATGCATAGGTATCTCATTCAATGCTCATAATAACCTGAGATAGTTCTCATTAGCCACATTTTGAGGATGAGGAAACAGAAACTTAGATTAAGTGGCTTCCCACAGCACAGACAGGGAGTAAGTAAATAAGCTAACAAGCATATTTGAACCTGTTTAACTTAACCCAGGTCCTTTATATTATAATACGAAAATTTTTAAGCAGAAGAGTGAAACAATAGCATCAGTCCTTGCCATGTACCAAGCACTACGCCCAGTACTTTACATACAAAACCTCCAATATTCACTGCAACTGGTCCCCACTCAAATCTTTCTGATTTCCAATGTTCTTTCAACAACTACAGCTGTGAATTTCTCAATTAAAAAAGGTTGAGTTTCCCATCAATAGAATACGCACGTTTTGCCTTTGCTTTTGACACAGTCAAACCTCATTAGTTTGTACCTGCTGATTTGGCACCTGGGATAATTTAGAGTTGGGCCAGCTTCGTACTCTTTTGGAATGGCAAGTTTGTTAAGCAAATAAATGGTAGAAACGAGTTGCTGGGAGGAATAGTTTGAACTACTTAGGAAAACAAGCCATTTTGGGCAATCAAGAGAGGCCAGAACAGTTTGTTATGCATTGTCGATCCTCAACAACTGCGGAAGACATCAACTCCAGGAGCACTCTACCTCCAACAACGGTATGTTAATTACAAATAATATTCAGTTATTCACTATACCAGCTCCATAAGGACTACACACTAGGGAACCCCATATTGGTTTTGCATATGTTCGAGAGGCTGTTACATATTTAAATAAGACTAAACTGCCAGTTCTTTAAAAATTAAATTTCATAAGTCAGAATTTTCACAAAGACGTACTTGTCTTCCCTCCACAGTGTACCCATATGTGAGAAACGACACTGTCTTAACCATTCAACACGCTCGGAGGCTACAATAAGTACAAAATGAATAAAAATATTACCCAATCTAGTAGTTTCATTGCTCATTTTCCTTCCTGCCCTCTCCCTCTCTTGGCAAGGGTGTCAGAGCAGTGTTAGGCGTGTTTAGGAGCTGGTTCATTTGATTTGCAGAAGTGGTGACTTTATTGGCCCCCAACTGCTTGGCATTATCAAATGCCACTTGAGCGGAGAGCTGCACTTTGTAATTCATCTCTGGCAGCTTGGGCTTCAGGTTTATCTTGAAGAATAAAAACTTGGCAAAGCAGAGGGAATGTGTGACAACAGGGGATAGAGCTGGAGAGGCTCTGCTTATTTTCCAAGGCACTCTATCTGTGAAAATCCCATTTGCGGTGCCTTGTTATTTTTTTGCTTCTTTGACCTGGTCTGCAAAGATGGTCACCCCCGCTCTTAGGTTTTTTGTGCCATTCACTGTTCCTTTTGCTCTGAGCCTGAGAAGTCCATCTTTCTGTGTGTCTCAGTGCAACCCTGCGCACGAGGCACTTTCCTTAAGGGCTCTTTTGTGAGGTCTCATCGGATATTTCTTGGAACCTCTACACTCTCACTGTAGGACTTTGGATATCAAGGGAGCAGCATTGGTGCCCAAAATGTGGAATGTGTGTGGGTGTACACGTGTGTGTACTTGTGCGGACATTTATGTGCATGTGTGTATATGTGTGTGTGTAAGGTCTGGGGTTCCACTGAGGACAAGGGGACATGTTTTTGTTTCCAGACAACCCCCCCTTATATCCACAGTATGTGCATATTTGTGGAATGGGGTGGGGCTGAGGGATGGGACGGGGTGGGGAAAAGTAATATTCCCGATGAAGATATGCCTTCACAGAGACACAGAATTTCCAAGGAAGATCTTCCTGTGAGAATGATACATCCCACTGCTGGAAGTCTGTCTTCCTTCGGGGAATGACATGTTACAAAGAATTCTGCACAAGGATGTCTGAGGATGCCGAGTGTGTTCAGAAGCCACTTTTCTTTCTTTGCCTCTCATATGGGAGAATCTGATACCATAAGTCTCAAAGGTAATTAATAATTATTTCTTATTCTCTACTATCATATAAGCCAAAATATCATTTTGATTAGACTTTAAATATAAAATGTTATAGCTCAAACCTCAAGCCAACACAAAGCCCATCAGCACGTTTACTGTGCCCCATGCACCAAAGTGCTACCTTCCCTTCTCTTATCTTACTCTCTCTCATCATATAGACTACTCCCCACTCCCCTGGATAACATCCTGACACATCTCTACCTATCCATCCCTCCAGTCCCAGCTCAATAAGACTTTTTCCAGAAACCAGAATCTTTTTATCCTGAACTGTCCCCAACTCTTTTTCTCTGTCTTCCAATTTGTCTCTCGTATAGTTGGGACCTACATCTTGGCTCTCGACAACGTGTAAGCTTCCTAAGGGCATGTCTTCCTGAAAACTTCTCTAGGACTCCTTACACTCCCCTTACCACAAGTTAATTCACCACAGCTACTCCTGTAATGTCTCACACTGTGGCCGCTCACTCTAATAGAACTTTTGGATTATCATTCAATCTACCATATTCCTTCATTAAAACTAATAATAGAAAAATCATTTTGTACAAGAAATCCTATTTCTGTTTTTAATAAAACAGCAAGAATTCTTCATTAGAAGATATAACAACAATAGTCATACCCCAGATTTACTGAGTACTTATGAAGTGTCAGGCAGTACATAAAGGGCTTTGCAAGTGTGAACACATGACTCTCTCCATGCACTCTAAGTGGTGGAGTCAGCTATCCTTATTTTACAGATTTGAAAACCAAAGTTTGGATGTGGCCAATCATCTGTCTAAGGTCACTCCCTAGAGAATCTCAGAGTTGGACTCCAAATCAGTCTGTCTGACTCTAGAGCCCACACACTTAACCCTTTGGCTGTACTATTTCTTCAAACTTCTCCCTCATCCTAGAGTATCCTGAGAGAAATAGCATATACGATGTCATACTTAACAGGAAGCTGCCTCTTATTCATTCTTCAGTACATTTACTCAATAGTTGTTCAATAAATATTTTTGAGCATCTACTATCTATCATGCATTCTTCCAAGCACCGGGAATACAGCAGCTAGAATGTCTCAGCACCTACGCATTCATTCAACAGACTCTTTTTCAGAGTTAGAATGCGCTAGGCGCTGGGACTTGGATTTCTTTGGTGATTTAAAGGAAGAACTCCAGATATCTCATTTGTTTTTTGATATTTACCTCTCCTGTCCCAATCTCTCATGTGTTCGACGTGGAAGCTAAGATGGGAAAACTTTGGACAAGAGCTTTTGCTTATTTCTGTCTCTGATGCTGACTGGGAGATGATTCCTCCCACCCTCTCTGTCTCAGATTTTAACTGCAAATCCAAAGTGTCAAAATTTAGAGAGAATGAAAAAGATGAATCAACAACTGTGGCAAGAAAGAGAACATATTTGTGACTTCTTTGGGCTTTGGGGATAGGATATTTTTCTGTTCTAAAGAGAGGATCGCAGCCAGGATAGAGGCATGCGCAGCAGGGGCCAAGGGTTCCTCTATAATCAGGGAACCTATTGCCAAAAAAACGCTAAGTGTTCCTTCTTTCCCTGTTGCCTTGATCAGTCAGCACTCTCTTCCCAGGGAGAGAGTAGCCTTAAATAATTAGACGGTATATTCTATGTCCTATAATAAATATATCCTGGATGGGAGAGCATTTTCCTTCCCTACCTCCTATGCCGGATTGTAAGAGGCAGTCTTGTGCCAAGAAATCAAGCTGTAAGCTACATCATCACAACTGTTGAGCTTTTTCTTTTAAAGAGAGGGTACTTATAATAAGCAGAAGACCCTACGTGTGCAGAAGAACATGCATTAGTCATTGGTTATGTATTTCATGATGCCTACTGTGGCTCACTCACGTATGCACGCATTCTATGCATTCTGCATTCGTCAGCCAGGTGGCTTCAATCCCAACACAACCCTTTCCACTCAGCTGGGGTGAACTGTCATTGTCCATTAAACCAAAGTGCTCTTCATCATCATTAATTAATATTCCCCTCCCAGAGGAGGCAGGATATTGTCCAAATATGTCAGACCCCCTCTCATCATCCACATCAGATGAATACACTAGAAATCACATGTCTCAGACACACTCGTCACATCCCTTTTGCTCTGGCCACCATCATGCATGCTGTCACCCATCCCACATGATGCCACTGGAGCATTTGTGCTATTTGGGAAGAAAAGAATTTTAGGACACTTGTTTCTAAGATTATCTTACACAAACACATCCACCACACACAACTGGGAGCCACATGATAACACTGCCTGGATTTAGCTCTAACTGTGGGCTCAGGACTTGGTTCAGAAGGTGGTGAATAGGTTCAGAGCAATCATCTGCTGATCCTGTTTGTGTTGGCTTTTCCTCAGACCATTTTGTTCTTCCGATCAGATTTCTTCTCCTGCTAGGTAAAGTCTCATACTATTTATCCTGCACTTCAATGTCCTTCTATTTCTATCTTAGGGCTATTACTTGGCCACAACCAAATATAAGCCCAAACACTGATCTTTCTGGAGACACAAAATGGTTTGTAGTTAAGAGTTCGTGCACTCTAGATTCAGATCCTAATTCTGCCACTTACTAGCTCTGGGATCTTATAAAAATGATTGTACTGTCTCTGCCACCATTTACTTATATTTGAAAGGGGAGTGATTATAGTCCCTATGTCAAAAAGTCAATACATGGATTGAATGAGAGAATTATTGAAGGTTCTTTACACAGTGCCTGGCACACAATGGCACTCTAAATATTAGCTATTCTTATTATGATCTTTCATCAAGAAAAATCAGTTTCTAGCATTTTTGCTTTGTAGCCAACTTTCCTGGCTCACATTTCTTGACTCTCTTGAATGGAGTCCATGTTCAATGAAAAATTCACACTGAGAGAAAATTTTGGTATTTCAATAACTAAACCATGTAAGATGGTCCCCCAACATTTTGTCCCCAATATTTCCCTATCTCATCACATACACACATGTAGTTCTAGTGTAGAGAACCACATTTGTTGCAAGGTTCCAAGGTGCACGTGAACAAAATGATTGATTTTAATGAGAACTGTGCTACCTTCTGCATTTCCCACAAAGACTCATCAGCAATACATATCCTCTATACGCAGACTCATCATACACTTATACATTGTACAGTTCACCTCTGCTAAAATAGCTTAAAGAGCACACAGATACAGGAATAGCAGGTAATTGGCATGCAGAAGTATACAAGCAAAGAATGCATGTCATCCTCCTCAGTCAACCCCTAAGTGGGAGCAGACGTGCACTCCATGTATTCTATCTCTGTCACTCCCACCTTGTATGGTGCTCATCTCTGCTCCTTATTAATTCATTTATGGATTTTCTTACTTTTCATTTATCTCTAAGTACTCATCATTCATTGCAATTCTACTGGGAAATTCATGCTGGATGGCATTCAGCTTCCTGCTAGCCAGAACAATCAGATTTAAGGAACAGTTGTGCCAGGTTCCATGTCAGCCAATATTCTTTCTATCTAGGTAATCAGCAGATACGGGACTGCCGTTCTGATCACATCAATTTCAATTCAAGTTGCTGTGAACTGTCAGGCTAATAAAACAAAGACTCTTCCCAGGATGCAGAACACCTTTACATAATGCAGTCACACCACTGCACACAGAGATGATAATGAGAGCCAGCAGTTTCCCTACAGATAGTCAACTGCAAGAGAGACATAAAGGGGCAACTCGAGGATTAACCAAAAAATCGTTTGCTGTGTCCAGAGGTCACCCTGTTTCCTCCTCTCATTCCGTACCTGTTAGCGATGTTTGAATTCAGAAAACCATTCGAGGAAACAGTTGCAAATAACATGACATTGCAAAGTCATCCCTATCCAAACCTGTCATCTTTTCCATCAACAAGGGACCAATTAAAATGGTCTCGATTTTGGCAGAAAACAAAATCTATCCAGAGAAGCTATTCCACATTGACTTGAAATGAAGGAAGAAGATAATCAGGAAGGGGGAAATGCAACCTGAAAGTCAGGAAATGTTTTTGGAAGACCAAGGGCAGAGCCAAGACCAGGGAGGCAAACTGGGTGATTAACCTGGAACAGCTGCTTTGACTTCATACCAGCCAGACACTAGGAGCAAGATACTTCCATTGCGTGCACTGGATCAAGGCAAAATAATGCGTGGCATTTCGACAAAACACATTTAAAGTTTAAATGTTTATAAGACATTTACAAATGAGGAAAGAAATGTGGCAATTTACACTTGTTTATAAGAAGACAACTAGTTGGTGTTAAAGAATGTCATATGGCCATGCTAATTGCAATATGGGAAGAAGTAGAGACCCAAAATAGTGGAAATGTGTTGTATTTTTAAACAACGTGGGTAGATTTTAAGACTACAAGAATCGAACATTGTATTGGGGCTTAAACTCATTGGAATGTAATATTAATTATGCTATCTATAATTTGTTGAGCATCGCTGTATTTCAGGCACTAATCAGTACTTTAAGAAGATTAACTTATTTAGTCCTCAAAGAAATCCTGTCAAGTACATACCATATTTATCTTCATATTTAAACAAGGAAACTGAGGTTCAGAAGTTATTGGATTTGTCTCAAGAGCACATACATGTGGTATAGCTAGAATTTAAACCCAGGCAGCCTGACTCTAGAATTTATACTCTAAGTCACAATTTTATCCAACACGAATTTGAAACTAAATCACCAGAATATGTAAATGTTTTCCAGAAAACATGTTCAGCTTGAGGCTGAGATATATGATACTATATTTATCTGGAACAGGGGCAGAAAAGGAAGTGAAAGAAACTTGTGAATGTATAAAAAAGTTTGCAGGGAATTTTTCTAAATATATACACACAAACTATGTCCTATGCTAGTCTACTGTAATTTCCATTACAAATACTTGGGCTCTAAATTGGGCATACAGTTTGTTAACATGCCTTTCCTTATAGATACACAGAGAAGTTTAGATACTAGAAGCAAATCCCCAAGAACTCCTAAAGGAGAAGGAATATGGATAGCATTAAAAGGAATTACAATGATAAGTTTAAATTTCTTAAGTGAAATTGCTTTCTTTCTTTGACATACTGGTTATAATTCCCTTGCTTCTCATTACACAAACAACCTCTTGACTCTGAACTTATACTCAACTAAACGGTAGCATCATTATGCCTGTACATATTTGAATCAGTTTTAGAATTTTTTTCAGATAGAATATAGGTATATGATTACACTTCCAAAATTATGAATATGTTTCGTTTCTTTTTTTTGTGTGTGTGAGGAAGATTAGCCCTGAGGTAACATCTGTTGCCAGTCTTGCTCTTTTTGCTGAGGAAGATTGGCCCTGGGCTAACATCTGTGCCCATCTTCCTCTCTGAATATATTTTTTAATGGCTCATTATAACTCATTATAAATCCTTCATAGCACAAGATAAGACTGACAAATGGCTAATATCCATCCCAAAATAGCAGCTTTCTTTCTACCCAACTGTGCCTTAAATGGCAATTAAAGCGTTGGTGTTTGTCATGAAAGCTAACTGATTCAACATACCTGATTTTATTTTGAATCTTGGTCACTTTGAGAAACCAAGTGCCATAAGTTCCCTTAAGGTAGAATGGTGAACTCTGCTTTTTGTCTCTCCTCCTCCTCCCCCTCATTTAGGAGAGAAAGATTTATTAACCTTATCTTACTCATTGGCCCTCTGAGAGGATGGCAAATAGCCAGTGGAGGTTATCTAGTTAGAAAGGTCTTCAAGTCCAACAAGAGTGTCTTCTGAGGCAATGCAAAGATGTCCCCTTCATTCTTTCTTTAGGGAGAGATAGGGGGGCACTGCCCACCACCCCTTTGCTCACACCCTGACACCCTGTTGGCCCTTCAAGACTATTTTCAAATTTCACACTAGGATCACTCTTGTTCAAACCCTATAATTGTTTGACTGCTTCCCAAGACACTCTCCAAGCCTTCTGAGACTTCATGGCCTGTGGACTTGGTCAAAAAAGCATCCCTCCCAGAGATGTTCTACGGATTGCAAATTAACAGATAAAAATGTTCTCCAAACCAGTCTCTCTCTCAAATGAAACGAGGCCACATAAGGAACTAGTAATTAAAATGATTGAGGAAACAGCCAATGTTGGGCCTACATAAGCCAGTCCAGGCACTGTAGTGAGTCAGAACAACATATGCCTTGTGACATACCTCATAGAGGTCGATCATGATGTTGCCCTCAGGGCCTCTGCTGCTCTGGACATTTTCCAAGGCCAGGGTGAAGTAGACACCACGGGTGTCTGAGATGTAGAGGTTGTACGTGTCGTTTTGGTTCCATTCTTGGACCGCTGCAAACACTTGATTCTCATCTGTGCTGATGACATGCATGTCCTGAAGAAAGACACAGGGAAGTGAAGCAGAAGAAGTGCTTCATAAGTTAACCTGGACTGTGTCCAAAGAGTGTGGAATCTAATGAGGAATAGGAATACCTGATTAGGCACTTAGGCACTATAATGGAAGACAGAGATTTTCCTATGGCATATTTATGAAATAATAATTAGTTAAGTGTTAATCAAATGTTTCCTTTGTCACTTGTGGGGTTAGGCAGTAAGGTCATGAGAAAATAGGACAGAGAGATGCTTGGTAGCTCAGTTATAATTTAATTGCCTCATTAGATAATTTGAAGAATACTTTCTCAAATATGTATGACTTTGGAGAATCAGTCATCCTGATACATTTGCCATGCACAAACAGGGTACATGCTCAGAAGGCTTATATGGGGCAAATATGAGGAAAAGATGGAGGGACAGAGAGAAAATAGACAAGTCCTGCATCTCTCAGTGTGGTCCACGGACTAGCATCGCGGGCATCACCTGTAAGTTTATTAGAGGCACAGAACCTCAGGCCTCCCTAGTGTATTGAAATCTGCATTTTAATATCCATGAGTGATTGATATGCACTTTAGAGTTTGAGAAGCACCGTCCTAAGGCTAGGCTCAGAAACCCCCAGAAACCCCAGAGGAAAAACCCCAGAGCACTAATCTCCACGTTAATGAGTGCTCAAGAACTTATCTGCTTATTTAACCTTTGCTCTGAGCAGTTCAGTTAGGAAACCTTAAGTAAAAGAGGGAAAAAATAGTCTGCATCATTGATGATGTTTTCAGATTCTGGTAGTCCTGGAAGATAGAAACAAAGCAAAGGTAATGTGGAGGTAGTGAGCAGATGTCCCGGGGGTGGGAATTCCAAATCCTTTCTTCTCCCATTCAGAATTCAAGAGAAGTGGATGTTCAGGGAGAGACTGGCACAGGCCAAAGCTTGTCTCAGACCAAGGCTTGCTGTCTTCTGTAGGGGATGCCTGCTCAAATGCTCTTGGCAGCTTTTCACCCTTTGCCCAAGGCAGTAGATATTTGTGTGACTTTCAAAAAGCAAAAAGCAAAACAAAACAAAACAGAATTACACATAAGCACAAAGGTAGGAGAACAACATGAAAAGATTCTTGGCCTTTGTTTAGTTTAGTACCCAAATCTTCCCAGATGGACCATCCTCCACCCTTGAAAAGCTTCAGGAGATCTGTCTTCCTTAACAACAATTCCAGCACTAGAAAATTCTACCTAACTTCTAACCTAAATTTCTCATTGTAATATAAGCCCATGTTCTCTCAACCAACCAATCAGAAATTCAGCTCTAACTCTGCTTTAGATACATGGGAATGAGTCTCTCCCTCCTCTTTAGCCTTGATCATAGTGAACTCATATGATCCCAGAAGGAAGAAGTTCTTATGCAAAGGGTTTCATATTCCTCACCCCTACCCAGGCCTTACATGCCATACTCTAGAGTTTGGTAATGTTTTTGTAGAGAGAATACAGAGAGGGGAAGCCAAAAATGAGTCCTGCCCGTGAATTCAATGTGGTCAAAAACGTAAACTAAGGTTTAATATAAAAATTGGCCATATCTTGTGTCTGCCCAATGCCTATTTATATTTCTTCTGGTAATTGTAGCTTGACAGTCTTTGAAAAACATGCTCACCCCTCTCAGAGAAATTTCCTCCCAATACTCAGTCTTTGCTACTTTCTTCCACCCTCAGCACCAGAAGTGAGCTTGTAGGCCTGGCATTCAGAAAATTCAATTTCTCTGATGATAGTTATTGGATCAGTGATGGCTATGTGACCCAAGCAAAGTCAATAAGACATGATTCTAGAAAGACTGTGGAACTATTAGAGAGAGAGAGAGAGAAAATATCTTTTACTATTGGTTTGTAAGCAGACAGAATTTAAAAAAGTCTAGATCATATCTTGGAGGCAGAGGATGAAGCCAATCCAGAAAAAGTATGCTCAAAAGGTAGAGAGCGATAGGCCAAATTCTGTGACATTCTTTGAGTCTTTGAATGTGGATATCTAAGAAGCCTTCCCACCTGTAACTCTTCAGTTAGAGAGGACAGCAGAGCAAAATGGTTAAAAGAATGGACTTTGAAGTAAAACTACTTAAGTTCAAATCCTGGCTCTATAACTTAGCTGTATGAACTGAACTCTGTGCCTCAGAATTTCTACCTGCAAAATAGAGATAATAGTATGCCCTCCATGGACTTGTGAGGATTACGTCAGTTAGTAAGTGTTAAGCATGTGTAACAGTGCCTGGCACTTAGCTTCTGCTCCACACATGCTAGCTATTTTCAGTTAAGCAAGCCCTTAAATCCCCTTTTGTTGATGAAGCAAGGCTGATTTGGCCTTTCAGTTCGTTGCAAATGTTAGGGTGCTTACTGATCTACTCAACAAAAAGTGGTTCATCCAAATGTTTTGTTTCTTTCTAATGGAGGGAATTAGCTGTGGAAATTAGCCCAAGGGCCATTCATCCATTGAAAGCCAAACCTTCTATGGCCCTCCATTTCCTATAGGACAAAGATCAAAATCCTTACCCTGGCATCCAGAATTTTCTTTCTTTTTTTTTTTTTCCCAATGAAATCATTATAGGATTTTATTTTACTGTCAAAATGTATACAAACAAAGGAGGAAAAAATATAGTTTTAAAGGGATCCTGCAATAGGGATATCCCTTTTGGAAGAAATATGACAATTCCAAAGCAACATTTTGTCCCTGACACACTATATTTCATCAAACAACTATTCCCAATTCATGTTTCCTTCCTTGTCAGCAGGATGTAGCATCATCCTTGAATTCAAGTTAAAATATTTCAGCACTAACCTGGTCTCTGCATAACTAATTCCCACCTCTGTGCCTTTGGAGTGAATTTGTGCGCTGGTAAACCTCTGAGGTCTGGGTCACAGTAGACATCTCATTAAATAATCCTGGGGGCTAGAGTAAACCATCTATACTATCCCAGCTTGCTCAAACCTTCATTGGTAGATATGGAACTGAAAACACAGATGCATCAAGTGTTTAAGTCACTTAGAGAACTAGTCACGTAACAAAACCAGATTAAAATGGTCATCTCCATGTAAAGGTCATGATCAGATCTCTTTCTCGCCATATAATCTAATTACATTGAACAGACTTTTTAAAAATCATGTTGGTCTTAAATATTTTAATTGAAAGGTTTGACATATTTAAATACCATCTTTCTTTTTTCTTCTTGCCTACTTCTTCCTCCATCATGAAAATATGCTCTTTCTCCCCAAATGGCACTTTATGTTGAATGCTTTTACTGAGACAAAATTTTAGACCAAGAAGTGATCTTTGAGCTCTTGTACTAGAGTGTTTCCCAAAGTCTGTTCCATAGGACACCAGCATTATTGGATTTTAATAGAATTTTTTTAAATGGATCCTTTTGTAAATGTTTGGAGCAATGCTGAATTATATAGCTTTCTTGCTTGCAGGACATCCTAGAGCGTTCAACATTCCAGTGAGCTACTGTTACTCTCTAGGCAAGGAACACAGAATGACGTTTATTTCTTTTTTTAAACTTATTTGATCATAGAACCAAATTTTCATGAAGCATCTCCGAAGACATTTTATTCTAACACACTTAAGAAAATATTGTTGTGAATCTAAGCTCCTTATTTTAAAAAATGTAAAAAAAAGAAAGAGAGAGAGAAAGAGAAATCGATAAACCAGCTTAAGGTTTCAAAGCAGGTTAGTGGCAGATCTAGGTCTGGATTTTGGGTCTCCTGCCGCAAAATCAAACAGCCTTTGCCCCATGCACCCGCCAGTTCACATCTATCTTCTACCCCACAGACAACTAGATCCATACTACTAATAATATTACCTTGCTTTTATAGAGTATCTGTCCTCCAAAATGCTCAAAGCACTTTCATATGTATTGCCTCATTTATCTCACTTGAGTAGCTCAGAATGAGCTCCAAGTAAGTTAAGGGAGGGAAACTGTCACTATGTGTCCCTGTCTGGAGGGCCTCATGCTCTTAATGGCAACAGCAATATTAAAATCTCCCCATCCTCCTCTCTGATCATTTTTACAATCATATTAAATCTTTTTTTTTTTTTTTTTTTGACACAGCTCACGGTAACCACAGTCTTTTAAGAACTGATACAATGGCAGTGGATGATTAAAGAAAATTTGAGCACTGGTTTGTCTTGATTCCTTTGGCAGGCATGAAGCTTTGTTCATTTCCAGCCACGGCCATCCTGGCTTTGATAGAAGGCCATGAAATATATTCACCCTTGCCACAGATCACTCCACCTAAGCTAGGGCTTCTCTTTGAAGGTGTAATGGGATTATAATGAGGCAACTCATTGCCTTAAATAATAAACACCCACTTGGACCAAATAGTACATTTATTTGCTGTACTGGTTCCTCTGTTCCTGGGGACAAGCTAAATTAATCACTGCATTCTACCCTCAGACCTCAGATGAGGCTGAGTAATGGAACCTGCATATCTGAGAGAGCAGGGGGAGGGGACAGACAGCCGATTCAGGTCAAAGTAAAACTTTTCCTTCAAGATTGGCTAGATGCCACCGGGGGCGACTGTCAACAGTGATCTGTGTGATGGCTATGAGCAAGCAATGCAAAGTGTGTGTTTCCTAACGCCAGCAACGGACCAAAAGATAGATGTCTCTTTGATTTTAAACTACTGTTTCTGGGGTTGCTTAGGTCAATGGAACTTCTTTTCCTGATGTCCCTCAGTATATCAAAATTTGGGGTGGGGGTACTGCTCTCTTTTAATAGTAGAATCTACTAATTTATTTCAAGGGAAGAAAAGTATGATATAAAGAACGCCAGTTTGGGAGTCAGGAGGTTTGAGTTCTAGCCTCAATTCTGCTGCAAATAGGATTTGGTTTTGCTGAAACTTATTCCACTCAAAAAGGATATTCCCAAGAGTAAGCATGAGATGAGTGACTCAAAGCTGCTGTTTCCTGATTCGGTCTCAATTACCACATGCCTCTTGAACAAGAGCATCTCATCAAATTGAGTATAATTCTTGTTTTTAAAGGTGTAAATCTTGCAAGCCAACTACTTCATTTGTTGGTCAACCAGAGAAACAGCAATGCATTTCACCACTGGAGGGGTGGGGGGGGACGGCTCTGTTGGACTTACTGAGGTAACATGATCATCTCCCTCAGCGACCTTCCTAAAAGATTCTCAAGGGTAATTTTAACAACACTAAGTTTTGCTTTTACAAACTGATTTTACCCAATTCTCTTCTAAGGCATGACTCCGATGTTGTAACTACTTGCCTTTTTGAAAAATACTTTAAGCCAAATCAAGAGCAAGGAGCAGTTAAATATATACAGGCACAGATGTATAGTTCTGGGCAATTACCTGTCATTAATCTCTTAGCAGCTGAAAATAATAATAATTACTAACATGGATATAGTTTAGTTCTTCAGAGTTAATAGTGCTATCTAATGTGTGTTATTATTTCTAATGGTCTGAGATTTACATCCCACCTCTCACGATGCTAGGGTTAGGGGCAGAGTGATGGTCAAGACAGAGAATTCTGCTGGAGAAGCCAGAGCAAATAGCTACCATTTTTTCTCCTGGGAGAAGAGACCTGCTATGCCCTTGTGCTATATCTATCACAGGACTTCCTGGGCAAGTGTTGGTCCAAGACAGCATATGAGAAAGTCATGGATAAAAACACAAGAGAAAGAGTCATGATAACTCAATCAAAAAAAGTTTTCATGTTCTCTGTTCAACCCAAAGGTTTCAAATCTGAGCCACAAATATATTTAAACTTACACAGTCCCCTCCGTACAGCCACACACATCTTCCTTGCTCTAAGATCAAGGCACAATACATTAACAATTTCCGGCCACTGAAAATACATAAGGATGGCAGCAAGACCGCAAATCCATAGCTTTCAGCTCCCAAGTCAGTTTGACCTCCACTAGGTGGCGCTCCATATTAACGCAGTTCTTCAGTGTTTATGGAACGATAGCCCAGAAGGGCAACAGTTGAGAGTCTTTAACTTTTCTCTGCCGCTATTTTCAAAGGAGTATATCTTTGGGGAAATCTAAAAAATTAGGTGTGCCTCAAAACTCTAAAGACAACCAGTCTCCTAAGTTCCATTGAGAGAGAAAGCAAAGGTTGGATGCCATATAAGGCTGCATCACCTCTCAATAAATAACTGATAACTACAAAATGGGATAAAAATATATCACACTGTTGCACTGATATACCATGTATTCAAAGCATATTTTCTGTCTTGCTAGAAAATATGATTGTCCCAATACCTACTGCTTGAAAATCTTTACTATTGAAAAGCAAAAGCAGAGCAATTACCAATGTATTCAGATGCTCCTATAGCAAGAATTCCAGGCAGTGTTGGGAGGAGAGAGAACAAACTTGAGAAATGGAGGTGGGGGATGAAAAGAAATAAATGGCTGGGCCAGCCCGGTGGCATAGTAGTTAAGTTCGCACGCTCTGCTTTGGTGGCCCGGAGTTTGTGGGTTCAGATCCTGGGCGCAGACCTATACACTGCTCATCAAGCCGTGCTGTGGCAGCGTCCCACAAACAAAATAGAGGAAGACTGGCACAGATGTTAGCTCAGGACCAATCTTCCTCACCAAAAAAAAAAATAAATAAAAAATAAATGATTACGAGAGACTGAAAGGGTCCAAGGGTCCTTCGGAAAGGGAGTGGAGGCAGGAATATGTGAATCAGAGGAAATACTGAAATGAAGAAATCAGGTCATACCTTGGGCAAAGCATATTTGGGCAGCTTCATTTGGGCAAATGCATTCCTTCGGTAGGACACGTAGTAATGTGGCCGTCCTCCTGATGTCAGCTGAATCATAAACACAAAGGTTGTAAAAGGAGCTACTATAATGGTTACAGGTCATAGAAGAACAGCCACCAAATGGAAGGGGGTAGCTGCCAACACAACAGTGTGAACGGCTATTGTGGACAAGAGTAAAGAATTGGCATTCAGTTCAAAAACAACTCATACGGCGCATGTGAGTTGGTCAGAGGCCCAAACTGAACCCACTGCACAAAAACATAATTCTTCGATTTGCACTGTGGCCCAGAAGCCAGGAAACAGTTTCAGTTTTTTTTTTTTCAAATGACACAAGGCTTAGGCTATATTAGCTCAATGTCCATCAGCAGCCCAGCTATTTAGCCCCAAGACTACGGCCATGCAAACAGGTCCCCCTGCCATATCAGAAGGGAATGGCCCAGGTCAAACAGTGGCAGAACTAGAGACACATCTCTGGGCACTGGATGCCAGTTTGATGCTGTCACATTGACAACTGTGAGCATGTCCCACACACAGCAGTGCTGCTGACATGTTAGACGGAAAGCCAAACTGGGACCGTGGGCCAAAATCATTCTAGATCTCTAACTCCGAGAAGAGAATTGTGGGCTACCTCCCCCAAGTTTGTCCAGGACATACAGTCCCATGAACCCTGTGGGTGTGTGGGAGGGTGAGAATGGGTGTGGTCCCCACTTCAGCACGAGCATCGTTTGGTGCAGTGTCAAGGGCTCTACTGCCAATCTCTCTCTCGTGTGTAGCTACTCTTTTTTCCCCAGCTTTATTGAGATATTGTTAACATATAACATATGTACATTTAAGGTGTACAATGTGATGATTTGATACACATATATATTGCCAAATGATTACCACAATAAGGTTAGTTAACACCTCCATCCCTTCATTTTATTATGATTTTTTTGTGTGTGGTAATAACATTTAAGATCTACTCTCTTAACAACTTTCAAGTATATAATACAGTATTGTTAATCTTAGCCACCATGCTGCACATTAGATTTCCAGAACTTATTCATCTTATACATAGAAGTTTGTACCCCTTGACCAACATCTCCCCATTTCCCCTACCTCCCAGCCCTTGGCAACCACCCTTCTACTCTCCGCTTCTATGAGTTCGTGTAGCCACTCTCAACCCACATAAATATGTGGAGTTTGAACGTTAGCTGGAGTTTGCATACTAACAATGTCAACAAATGCTCTGGGAGAATATGCATCAGACACATAAAAATGTGGTTGGAAATTACCATTTACCACTATGTGGGCAGACCACCTCTTAGTACTCATGATGGGTTACGGGATCACGTTCACAGTGGCCTGGGTGGAAGGTATATGAAACTCTGAACGCAGAATTGATTCTCAATGTAAGTCATATATGTGGATTATAAACTGTTATTCAAAAACAGAAAAGGTTTGTGGGAGCAACATTGACAGAGAAATGAATTATAGATAGAACCAATATATGTAACCATTTTAATGTCACTTGATAACTTGACGCTGAAGTTATCAGAGTACTCATTACTCATTTCTCTGAAGAAAAAGGAAATGTATGTGTGTGTGTGCATGTGTGTGTGTAATCATTTGTGAAACATTTTAAAAGTACATAAGCTGATATTGGGCATTTTGAACATTTGCTTCCTCAAAACATGGAATTAAATATTTTAAATTATTTCTTTCTAAATAAATATAATAGTGTCTAGAATGTGTCTCAATGATAGTGAAATGATATATATGTGTTTATATATATATAAACTATTTAGCAATTGTACATTTGTCATTTTTAACATGGAAATCAATAAGTGAATTTTTAAATGCCTTGTCCAAACAAGCCTAAAATTTTCCTTAAATGCTAAAAAGAAGCAAAGCATACTTGCTCCCTGTGTCTTCTAACCACTCATGAAACTTCAGCTTCTCAAAGTGTTTCCCACTCACTCTGGAGGTGAAAAACTTGTCTGAATACATCTCATCTAAACTCTCTTTATCCCAATCACAGTCAGTGCACGACAATAATGGCTGATTACTCTCTCCCTTGCTTCTGCCTCCCACCACCTCTAGCCTCCCCACAGTTTCCTGTTCCCACCTGCTTCTCTATTTTTAAGGTGGATTGCGGAGGAGGCTGATTGGCTGGCCATTCTCCTGATAGGAAGAGATTGACACATCTGCTCAGTGCTGTTGATGACTATCAGGAGCTTCTCTGAATGCAGATGAGGGGGCTGAATGGAAGTGTGACTCATTCTGGAGACAACTTTAGTACTCTAAGCAGTGCCTCCTGACCCCTGTTGATAAGGTCTTCCAGGCATTGCCCAGAGGAACTAATTAATATTCTGTTAGGATAGAAGCTCAGCATTCAGTAATGTTCCTTTTGTTGAAAAGATAATGCTTTTCTTTCTTTCTTCCTTTTTTACTCTTAAGGGAGTGTAAGCAGACAAAAGGGGCTGCAGTAGGGACAGAAACAGGGAAGAGAAGTGTTTTTGAGAAAATCAATAGAAGTGGATCTTTCATACCTGAACAAACACGTAATCATCCTGGACAATCAGAGAGTCTGGATCAATGTAGCCCGGGAAAGGTTTATGTCTGTTGGCCTCTGTGCAGTTCTGCATTCGGCAAGTTAGATATTGGGAATCTGACAAAAAAGTGGGAGTGGGGGGTAATATACACACAGAGTATTAGAGTCAGAGTGGACATTTTCTACATCCCTTGCTATCTTCAAGTCTATAAACAAACCTCACATTCTTTGTTAACCACATTACTATTATCATTATTATCGTTAAAATTATCATCATTATTATTTTACTCACTTGCTATCAACACCACCACCACCATCTCCCAGTGCCTTCTCCAACTCTTGCCATCCTAGAACACTAAATTCTTATTAATTAATTTTTCCCCTCCCAAACCCAAATGAAAATATTTTCAAAAACTGGCAATAATACTTGTGCTTTCATAGTTATTTTTTCTCATTAATAGGCTTCACCTCCACACTTTGACCTTTGACTGACAAATAGGAAAACACACACATGCATGCAATCATCTCATGCTAGAAGCGCTGTTGTTATAAATAATAAGGTTCTAGGTCAAAATAAAGGTTTTTCTTCTACTACTAATTAGAAGGAAAACACAACAGAGAGGAGATTCCTAGTCAAAAACTTGCTCTCATTTTATAGATGAGTAAACTAAGACCCTGAATCTCACCAGAGACTGTACAGCAGACAAAAAACCTATCAGTAATAATAACTCTTACACAGATTTGATCCCTAGTGCTGGAAGCCAGTGTTGTATCAGGGAGGCAGTCCTGTTGTTCAACCATGACTATCTCGCCCTCTCTACTAATCAGATGTCACTTCCTTACTTAAAACTCCTTTTGCCTTCTTGCATTTAGAGTAAATTCAAACCCTCCACTGCCCACCACTCCAACCTCCCCTCATGCTAATCTCTTTCTCTCTCCCTGGGATTCTTCTAATCTGCCCTACTTTATGGTTGGAAATTTGGCCAAACTTTCTACCACTTAAGAGACTTCATTTGTATTCCCTCTGCCTAAAATGCTCCTCCTCAGGTTGTTCCCAAGGAAGGTTCTAGATTTCAGCTCATTATTACTTCTGAGGGTCTTCAATGATTTACTTTTGACCACACACAATCCTGTTAATTCCCTTCCTGGAATTTATCACAATCTAAAATTACCTTGTTCCTTATTTATTTCTGCCCCCCACCCCCGCCCCCATTAGAATATAATCTTCCTGAAGTCAGAGACCTCTTTTGTTGTTGTTCCCTGCTGTACCCCCAGGATCTAATACCATTCCTAACACATAGTAGCCAATAAATATTCACTGGAACATGCCTCTTTATTGGAATGTATCTTTTTGAATGAAAAAGGAAGTCATTTGCCTTTTTTTCGATGCTTAATGAATGATGAGTTTGATTTTAGGACATTAGAGATGTATGCAGAAATCCACTCTTCCAAAGGAAAAAAATCAGGAGACAATTATTTACATGATATGAGGATGGGCAATAGCGTGTTGAGTTGGATGTAAGGATTCACTAATGACTTCCCTTAAGGAAATTTCCAGGACTATCTTTCCTTTAAGGAACTTGGGTATCCCTGGATTCTATCAGGAGCACCACTAGGAGGCGGCGTGCACATTTGCTCCATTTGACCAAAGACTGATGCAGTCATTGATAAGCTCTCAGGAGACTGATGGAGGAGAGCTTTATCCACAATCTTCCTCCATCTGGCTGTGAACCATGGGGACAAACGGGGATAGCTCTCAAGTACTTTAACCCATCTAGTCCTGGTGAAACAACCTCCGAAGACAAACTAAAGAAGAATCTTCTACTCACCCTTCCCTATCTCCTTTTTCAGATATTCTTATAGTTCCATTTTAGGGCATAACTCAAGACCTTTCTCCTCGAAAACAATTTCTGGGACTCATCCATTCCCAGATTGGTCCGCCCCATAGCACACAAAATTTTTACCTCACAATTTCACACTCCATCAGAGCCTTTTACAACTTTTAGTCGACTTCTGTTTTTCAAAAGGTAGCTTGGGGTCATAGTAACAATGGAGATTGGTGACTATGAGACCTGTGTTTGAGTTCTGTTGTGGTCACTACTAGTGATCACACAGTTCAAAGGAAATCACTTCATCTCCCTGAGTCTTGCCACCCTCATCTATTAACTGGAGATGCTAATATCAACTATCTTGTAGTTTGGGTCTAAGAATTAACTGAAATAAAATGTGTATATATATATATATATATATATATATATATATATATATATATATATATATATATATATATATATATATGCGCTAATGTTTTGAAACTCTAACTTGTACAAATGTCAGTTGTTATTATCACTAACGATAACATTCTTGTTTTCTCTTTTGCTACCTTTCACAATGATTAGATCAGTTTGGGGCACATAGTAGGTCCTTAAAAAGACTGGTTAAACTGAATTTGAGTATTCCAGTTATATTTCTGTATCAGGTACTGTTGGTGACCTATCCAATGCTCATTCCTTCCTGTGTCTTTGCTGGAAAAGCCAATAATAGATCTGTTGGCTCATTCTTCCTCCATGTGACTCAGAAGTTCGCATATGCAAGGATTAATCCTCTTGGGTCTATGGGTCTATGGGTCTATGGGTCTATGCCCACTCAAGGTCTTCCTACTCCCCTTGTCATTGGATGGTTAAGGAAAGGGCATTTAAACCCAGTTCTAGTAAATGAGAAGTGAGGGAAGTCTTTTAAGGGGCTGCAGGGAGGTACCAGGAGATATAGCAGAAGACTCTCTTCTGTCTCTATACAACACTGAGTCTCAGTGCAATGCTTGGGACTGCTCTAGCCTTCTTGTCATGAGGAGAAGCCAGTCTTAAAGTTAAGCTTACATAATGAGTATGACAAAGAGATGGAAAGGACCTGTTCTCTGATGATATCATTGAGTTACTGATTGTACTAAGCCTAGAGCTGCCGTTTCTCTGTGCTTCTTGTTATGCGAGATAATGAATAAAAACAATGATTAACCAAATTGATTCAAAGGTCCCTGATTAGGAAGTCTTGTGCTTCAAATTACAAATACAACTTCCAATTAGAATTTCTAGGACTGCTACCTAATGAGGACTTCTTGATAAATACACAGTGCTTGTTTTATTTGTAATGGAGTCTAAGAACTTCTTTCTTAAGACCTCAATCTCTTCTTCAAAGGTTCCTGAACAAGCATAAGATGAAAAATATAAAAATATAATTTTCATATTTATAACTCAACAATACAGAAATTATGAATCTGAGGGATTTGGGGATACAATAAAAGAACAGGGAAACTAACATTTCTGGAGCATCCATGTGCCAGGTATTCTAAAGCATGTTCACATTTATTTAGTACATTTAATCTTCACAATACTACAAAGTACAATATGTCAACTGATTTTTCAGATAAAGCGAATGAAGCTCAAAGAGATAGTGTTTTATAGAAATGGTGTTATGGGTTTCAAACTTGGTTGGTTGGTTTATTTCCACAACTGTATGTTGAATGAAAACCCCAGTAAATTTGGGGCCAATTTTTGTTAAGCGTATTTTGGCTTTCATCTAAGTATCAATGGATATACCTAGATACAAAAGAAGACCCGTAAACTGATATTTTTTGTGGGGGTAATTTGGCAATATGGATCAAGAGCCTTAAAAATGATATATCTTTTGACCTGAGGTTCGTTTCTGAGATTTCTACTTGAGGAAATAATTAATGATCTATGCAAAGATTTAGCTACTTCGATATTCATCAGTGTTGTTTACAATCAAAAAAAGAGAAAACAAAATGGACAATAGAGGAATAACTACATAAACTGCGGACATGAATCGTTTGCTATTAAAATCCTGCTTCTAAAGAGTGTATGAGGATTTACAGAAGTGCTTAATACATTTTATATTATAAAATTAGGTTACCAATTAATAGTATTGTATCAATGTTAATTTCTTAGTTTTGAAAAATAGACCATGGTTATATAAGATGTTAGTATTACAGGTAGCTGGGTAAAGCTGTACTTTCTTGGTAACTTTTTTGTTTATCTAAAATTATTCCAAAATAAAAGTTTTTCAAAAGTAGGTTGCCAAAATATGTTGCATATGGACCCGATTTTGTGCAAATTGTATATATAGATATCTATATATGTATGTTTGCATGAGAAAACTGAATAAAATATATATATGAGATATCAACAGTAGTACAGAGGCAGTGATGTGAGAGAGGTGGACAACAGGTGTGCAAATCTCTGGTCAGCGCCTCTCAGCTGGGGGAGAGAGGGAGTCAGAGTCATGTTGGGCTTGTGAGATCCATCTCACAAAAATCAGAGAATTGTCTCTCATTCCTCTGCTCTTTCCATCTTCCTCCCCTCCCCATGCCACATACTGAGGTGGAGCTGTGCAATGAGCCTATCCTTGGGCTGAGAATTACAAAATATACAACTGGGTGACACAAGAAAAGGCCCTGGAAGAGGTCTTGAAACCATTTCTCGCTCAGAGTGGCTCAAAGTGAAATTTGCAAGCTGAAGGGGAAATGATCAATTTGGAGCTGCCTGCCCGCAGTAAAGTGCTCCTGGTTTGTTCGCTTTCTCCTCCTAATGGAAACAGAAAGAAATTGGCTGCACATCATAATGAGGGACCAATCACTCTTATTTCCCTCGGGGCTTGCTGTAATAGCATTAAGTATGATGAACTCTTTCCATATTCAATTCTGGTGAGCGTATGATGCGATTCCATAGGAAGTATCTTGTAATTTGGCATTAATTAACGTCAATTAATGTATGCAACTGCTAGACTTTAGAATTAATTTCATTACTTTTCCCACACAGATGTTTTCCTTGCCATAGGTAATTAGGACACTGTGCTGCTCTTTTCAAGCATTCTCACTCTCTGCAACAGCTGCTGCTTAGAATAATGCAATCCCCATCCCCCCAAAATCTGTGCTGGTCTAGAGAAAGGAAGCTGTCTTTAAAAGGCGAGGCTTTGAGCAGAGGAACAGGGGTTTAAATGCAGGCTCAAGGCCTGCTCACTTGGTAAACCTAACCAATCATTTGACCTCTTTAAACTCTGATCTGTGAAATGGGAACAGACGAGATCCGTCTTCCCAGTGGTTA